ACACTTTTGGCAATATTTTGAATGTACTGTTTCTCTGGTCTTTCTAGTGTTTTTAGCTTTTCTTGTGTTAAAACAGTGAGTTGATTGGTTCTTCTTGTCCAAAACATTTCATTGCATAGTTGACAGTTTGTTAACCCACATATGACAAATAAATGAACCTGAATCTGAATCTAACCCTGGGATAACCTGCAATGTACAGCTGAATTTTATGCAGCTGTGATTTGATTCTAAAACGCCTTACGTTTTGTTTGCAAGAATAAAAGTTGTATTAGGTTTGGGAAGGTTAAAAATAAAAACATTGGATAGGTCTTTTGCTTCAATTTCAGCGCATCTTGTCAGCAGAGTCTGACATTTCTTTCAGTGTAGGATTTTTTTCTGGCAGGTGAGAAGAGTTAGTCATCAAAGCTTAATATCTCAAAGTCTTTTCAAATCTGCAAATATATTCACCTTTTCTTTGTGACTCAATGATTTATCAGTTTTTCCTTTACCAAGGCAGTTGTATGTACTCAGTGCTTTTGTTTTTATCTGTTTGTCTGTCCGTCAGCAAGATTATTTAAAGGCCTATCAGGATATACTCCAGAGCTGAGGGGTCTGAGAACAAGTCTCTGTCGAGGATACATTTACACAATTCACTCCACTGTGTCCAAACTACAAAGCCAACATCCAAACACTTTCATAACAATCACTGGGGACTTTAACCACGTTACACTGGATAAAATTCTCCCAACTTTTTACCAGTTTGTTAACTGCCCCATTAGAGAAAATAGAACACTGGACCTCCAGTATGCAAATGCAAAGGACGCATACAGTGCCACCGCCCTCCCCCCACTCGGGAGATCTGATCACAACCTGGTCCTTCTGACACCAAAGTATGTTCCTCTTGTTCAACAGCAGCCTGCTTCCACAAGGACTGTTAGGAGGTGGAATCAGGAGGCCAAAGAGGCTCTGCAGGCCTGCTTTCAGTCAACTGACTGGAAAGTGCTATGTGAGCCACATGGGGGGGACCTCAACAGCATGACTGACTGCATCACAGAATACATAAAATTCTGTGAGCACACCACCCTGCCAGCCAAGACCGTACGCTGCTTCCCAAACAACAAACTCTGGATCACCAGTGACCTGAAAGTCCTCCTCAGCAAGAAAAAGAAGGCCTTCAGGTCTGAGGACAAGGAGGAAATGAGGAGGCTACAGCAAGACCTGAAGGTGGAGCTGAGGA